GTCTTGTCCCACAGGCAGGGCTTTTCTCTTTCCCATAGCCGTTCCACTGTAGTTCCACTTGTCACCAGAATGCAAACCTCTGTGTCCGACTGCCTGCCTGACACGGGCCTCCGCAGTGTCCGACCCGCCGCAGGTCCCACAGCCTCTCTTATGAACCTGCTCCTTTTCTGTCTTCTGAAGGTGCTGCTGACGTCAGCCAGTGACCTCGACAGCTTCCTTGACGCTTCCCTCTCCACACCGGCCCTAGACGCTGGGAGATTCTTGCCTGAGCACCCTTTGAGTTCTCAGTGGCTGAACCCCCTGGTCCTCGGGACCTCCCGAGCTCCGATCCCAGTTCTCCCACTTATTAGTTCTGTAGCTGCATGCCAGTTACTTAATTCCTTTGAACATCAGTTTCCTCACCTGCAAAACAGAGATATAAGGTCCACCTCAGAGCATGTTGTGAAGGACGAAGGAATTTATATGCTGAGAATAGTGCCTGGCACTGCAGAGGCTGGTGAAGAGCAGCTACGGACACCCTTTCCTTCCCACCCCGTTTGTCTTCTCTCCCTCCTCCTCCTCTCCCACCCTTCCTCCTTTCCTCCCAGTCTGGCCATCATCTCGTGCAGATTATTATCACTTGTCCCGGTGGTCTTCCCTTTTCCACGCTTTACTCCACTCCTTCCTCCCACATGCATTCTCTCTACCACAAATGGAGGGGTCTTTGAAAACACAATCCAATAACTTATTTCCCAGATGGGAACTTTTCATGGCTCTTCCAGAGATGACCTTCGCAGTGTCACGTGAGCCGGCCCCTGCCAAGCCCTCTGCCCATCTGATGGCCCCCTGCACCCAGCTATCCTCCAGCAGCTCAGCCCTGCCCCTTCGTGCCCTGGACCCTCTGTACCTCCCCTCTGTTCTGCTTCTTGCCTTGCTCTCTCCTTATTAAACCCCTCCAGACCGGTTTTTGCCTTTTTTTTCCGTTCTTTTTTTTTTGGGGGGTGGGTACTGGAGATCAAACAGGACGCAGGCTGTTTCCCCACTGAGCTGTCTCCACAGCCCTTCCCAACACTCTTTCTAAGAACACCATTCTTCTGCTCCACAGCACTTATGGACATTAGGGTTCACTGTCCAGAGTCCGGCTCCCGCCCTAGACTGCAGGCATCACAGGGTGGGGAATGCATCTATCCTGCTGGTTGTTGTACCCCATGCCTAGCACAGGGCCTGGCTTAGAATCAGGTTTGATAATTGCTGTATAGGAGACTTTAAGCCATGCAGGCCTTCCGACTTGGGTCACTGCTAGTTTAGCGAGGCTCTTGGATTCTCTCCTTTGTCACGCTGTAGAACTCCTCCTGAATCAGGTGTCTGTCAACTGAACTTCCTGTGAATGACCAGGATGAGACACGGGAGCCAGCTGACAACTGTGGTTGCATTATTTACACCTGGAATGGGGGGGGGGGCTTCAGGGACTTCACCAGCGGCGCAAGAAGCCCTGCGGTCTGAAGGCGCATCTGTGCCTTTCAAACATTAGGCAGTAAAAGAATAAAAGCAAGTACACTAAATAACCCCAAAATGACAAAGCCACAAAAGAGTGTGTCACAGCATGTTTATTTCTCTTTCACAGGCAGGTCAGGGATTAAGAAGCATGCTCCATGAAGCGAGGGACAGGCAGAAGTTCTTCAGCGATGTTCAGTATCTTCGGGACATGCAGCACAAGGGGGATGTGGAGTACCAGGTAACTGCAGAGGGTGAGGATTTCCCACCCTGCACCGGCGTGAAAGGTCATTCGGAATACAATACTGAGCATTGCTAAACAGTAGTGTTTCCTAAGATCCCAGCTCAGCCTCACTAACTGGCTGGCCACACAAGGCTGCTTCATCTTTCTGAATCTCAGTTTCCTCATCTGTAACTGGGGGATAATAAGATTACCCACGCTGTGTTCTGTCAAAAAAGCGAAGAGAGATAAACATTTTTTGAAGTATTTACTGAGTGTCTGGCACAGCCCTTGGCAACAAATGACCCTGGGGCTCCAATTTGACAAACCAACCAAGGCAAAAAAAGACTTTCTTTCTGGGGTTAACTGAGCCACTCCATCATTTATAAAATAACATACTCTTCTGTTGTCATGGGGGCAAAGAAAGGTGGCTAGCACATTCTACAAGCTAGCTGTTGGTCTCTGTGGTTACGATGTTTACATGCAAAAACAGCGCAGAGCCTGAGGGCCCGTGATGCAATTACCTGGCAGGGCTGGCCCAGGACAAACTCACCAAACTGGGCTGCGCGATTCCGGGAACAGTTAGAAGGTGGCACTCATCGCGTCTTGCCAGAGGTCAGGCCCTGCCAATCAGGGAGGCCTGGCTTCAGGCCTGGTGGAGGCTGAAAAGCAGCCCTTCCCTAAGGAGAACTCGGATCTGCCTTATCAGGTTTTTCTCTTCCTTAGCAATTTCAAATATAACTGAACCTCCCGGGTCACCAAGGAAACCAGACCTATCCCAGTAACCTGATTTCACCTATATGATACAGCTTTGCTTTGGGGCTGGAAACGGAGTTGGCAGTTTCCTCCCACAACTCGCCAACCCACAGAGAAGACTGTAAGACGTGAGAGCTTCTGGAAAACAAATAAGAGTGTAAACAGCAGAACCACCGGTCACCACGGCAGAACATCTGCCTACTTTCCATAAAGATGCCCCTGCTCCCCAGCCTGCGTCGGGAAACACACAAGTCGCTTGAAGCCATCTGTACAACAGCCCTCACGCTCACTGTTTTATGATCCCTGTTGAAGAAAATCACACGACTACGTGGTGTGGAGCTGTTGGAAATGAGCCCCCAGACTCAGTCTGTCAGGGCAGACAGTGAAGCACTGAGAAATCTTGACAAGGCTTTTACTTTTGCTTTTCCTGCCCAGCAAGGAGGTAGCAGGTGGGTGGGACAAAGGCTGGGTGACCCCCAACGCTGGAAGAGCAGCTGACCGCTTCCCCATTGGCTGGCTTGGAGGCTCCCAACCTATCCGGATTGGCTAACTCCGGCACACAAGGGAGATTTGAGGGGTTGCTGAGGGCAAGGGCAAGCAGGACGGAGCGGGATGTGGAGAGCAGAAAATCCTTGGCTCTCTTTGGTTTGTAGCAGTGTGCCTGGGATTGGAACTGAGCAGGCACTTCCTGTAACTTGGTGTGTTCAGGACGGGCTACCTGGAATGGGCCTGAGTCCAAGATGGAGTCATTCCTGTTTGATAGAAAAGACAGAGCTTGCTGTTTCCCACAGAGCCCCGGCAGTTGTTTCCTAATCTAAATTGAGCTTTCAGGACACCTTTTCCGTTCTTTCAGCCAATAGTTATCAATAACCTACCACATGCCAAGTAAGGTTCCTGCTCTTCCAGAGTTCTTATTCCAGTCTTGAGCAGAAAACAGTGTACACAGGACACGAGAGTATAAGATAGCGCTAGTTACTGCGCTAGTTTGGGTCTAGGGTGGCTCCCAAAGGCTTGTGTGCTCAAGACCTGGTCCCCATCTAGCACTACAGGAGTAGAACTTCTAGTGGTGGGGCCCAGGGGAGGTCCTGCGCTCGCAGATAGCGCCTGAGGGGGCAGTGGCGGTCCAGCCCCTTCTCATCCTTCACTTCCCCGCGGCCTGAGGAGGACAGGCAAGGAGCAGATGGTCGGAGCTGAAACTCCCAGCCGGGAGCCTTCCTCTTGTTAAATTGATTAATCTTAGGTTTTGGTTACTGTGACCCAAGCTGACTTAGACACTGATAAATACATGAGGAAAATAAACCAGGCAATGAGGGTGGTGATGTGCTCCTTCAGGCGGCAGGGCAGGCCTCTCTGAGGCAGTGGGGTTTGTCTGTGGAAGAGAAGGGAAGCCCTGGAGCGTGCGGAGCGGAAGGGCAGGCACCCGGGAGAGAAGAGCCTGGAGCTTGGGGGAGACACAAGAAGCCGAGGGCGACCGGGAGACACGCCTCAAGGCAGCATGCAGAGCACAAGGAGGGAACAGGTCGCGGGGCCGGATCGAACTTGGGCATACAGATTTGATAGGTTTGGGCACTAGTGTGAATTGCCAAAATCACTGTGGTGGTCATCTAACACAGCCAATTCCCTTAGAACAAAGGCCTGTGTGCCCAGGACCACCTCCCCCTTCTTCTCCAACTTAGCCCAAGACATAATTCACTTTCATCCTTCCTGCCGCCTCAGGGAAGACCCCCAGTCAGCTCCCTCAGATATATCTAAACATGCCCTTCAAACCCCTCCGCTGGCAAAAGGTCCTAAAAGCCTCAGTCTTCCTTTGTCCAGTTCAGAAAATTCCTTCACCTCCCCAAATTCTTTCCATGTCCTCAAAGAAAATAAGGTTCCTTTTTCCTTCTGCCTGTTTCTCTTCCTCGTCGTTCACCTAAAAACACCTATCAAGATTTGGCTCTTATCACAGAATCCTTGGATGGTTTTCTTCCCCCCCCTTGGGCCACCCCCCACCACTCCGCAGTCCCCCCCCCCCCCGCATGGTTTTAAGCAGAGTGATGTGACTTGCTCTACTACCCTCAGTACTAAGCGTTGAACCCGGGGTCTCATGCACACTGCACAAGCACTTTATTACTGAGCTACACACCAGCACATGCACATACACACACACACACACACACACACACACACACACACCTTTTTTAATTCTGAGATGGGATCTCACTAAGTTGCTCAGCCTAGGCTCAAACTCTTGATCCTCCTGCCTCAGCCTCCTAAGTAGGTGGGATTATCGGTGTACGCCATCATATCCAGCTTGACTTATCTTTTTACAAGATTGCTTTGGCTTCTGTTGGGAAAAGAACTGTAAAGAACAAAAGCAGAAAAAATAAGAGGCTGGTGGAAATTTAGGAGAGATTTGGGTGACTTGGGCTGGGTGTCAGTCTTGGAGATGACACAAGGTGGCTAGCCCAGCAAACAGAAGCAGACCGGCCATCCTGGGACAGACAGGAGGGAGGAAGAGAACAAGGGACAGACGGGAATGAAGAAAAGAATGAGGGATGACCCTCTTCAGTTGTCCATTACCTCCTGCTGATTGTACCACAGCTTTAAGCCTTTTCATTCTGCAAACCTCCAACTCCCCTATTTCCAACACTCTCCCCATTCTGGTTGGTATCTGGGTGTCCCCCCAGAGCCTCAGGCAGTAATTGGGGCGGCTTCCAGAGTTTGTGATCAATTCATGATCCAATGCTGGGATTCCAGGTGTGAGTGCTACACCCGCCCTGGGCAGGTAATCTGCACGACAGTGTAAGGAGGGGAGGGGGCTGGCTCGCAGCTGCAGCCACTGCCGCTCCCTTTGCTCTTTGCTGTTCTCTGCTGCCATGAGCTCTTGCCCTCTGCCATGTGCCACTTTGCCTTGGAGTCGGCTGAGTATGGCCCGAAACTTCACTGTGAGCTAAATAAACTTTTTCTTTCTTAATTTTGGGTGTCGGGTATTTTGTCGCAGCAATGAGAGAAAAGTAGCTGAGACACCCCCCTCGTTTCACACACACATTAAAAAAAAGCCCAACGATGCCAGCCCATTCCTCAGCTTCCCTCCCTCCCACCGCAGGGTCTGCAGTGACCCTCCTCCCGCCAGGGATCAGGGCCTCCCACCCTGGGTCTCCTGGCTGGGCCTTTGCCCTCCGCTCCTTACCGCTCCATCCACAGGCTTGCTTTCATTTCCTACCCAGGGAAGGACAAAGCCAGCTACGGCCTGTGTGCCTCCTCTAGCAGCACCTCCGGCTCTTTCCTGTTGTGTCCCCAAAGAGTCAGCTTCATTCTGAGCTCCACTCTTGCCCTCTCGTTCATTCCCTAACCATTAGTGGCCACATTCAGTGGCCACCTTCCAGTCCTGGTTTTGGGGCTTTCTCTGCCTTCGAGGCTATTTCTCACCCACCTGGAATGTTCCTCCTCTGGCTCTTGGACATCGCTGGCTCCTGACTTTCCTCCTGTTCCCTTCGTTCCCCCCGTTTTCCTTTCCACATCGTCTTCTCCCCACCCTCAAATGCTAATTCTCTCAGGCTTCCATTTGCAGCCTCGTTCTCATCATAAATTCACCAGGCCCCGTGACTCACTTTGTCTGCTCTCATGTTCTAACTACCTCTTTATTTTAGTGACTTAGCTGGGAGCCTCCCAGAATGTCGGTATTACATGCACACCTGCTTGCTGGATGCTATTTCTGGCTGGATGCTACGGAGGCATCTGAACCCAATGTGGTCACAGCTGTGCACTCCATGTCCCCCTCCTGTGACCTGAGCCGTCCCTGACTCCTCCTCCTCCCCACCTCTCACCCACCTTCCATGAGTTACCAGGTCCCACCAAGTTCATCTAAGATCTTATACAATTGTACTTTCATTTTTTATCTTATTGCCATTGGTATGATTAATGATTTTTAGTAAATTTACGAAGTGTTTGGCCATAGCAAACACCCATCTTTGGAACATTGCCACTGCTTCCACGCGTAGAAACCCTTCTATACCCCTGCGTGGAGCCCATGAGACTGCATGGAAGCTGTCTTTTGAGTGACTTCCTCTCCAACTGAACAGCAGCTTCTTAAGGCCAAGGGCTGACTATGTCTCCTTTCCTATGCTGAACAAAATGCCATGCCATTCATGAAAGCCACTGTGTCCCAGCTTGGCCACCAACTGGGTTTATCAGACTTAGATCCAGCTGGCTTGTGACTATTTCTAAGCATCAAATCCACCCTTGCTGTACATTCTTAAAACCTCTTATTAAAAGGTCTCCAA